GTGTGCAACATCATAAACCCATCTCCCTCGCCATGCGCATTTTATTTGTGGGTTGATAGGAACATGCCATATATGGAGAGTGGAAGGAGCGAGAGGAGAGGATGCCTGGGTACTTAAATCCAGACTTGGGGAACATTGATGTAATTCTGATTTAATGTCAGCTCTGTCAGAATCAAGCTCTCATCTTCTCCATGCAAATGATAATTTATGTCTTACTGGCATGAACACTTTACCTCCCACTGTTTTTTAAATCAAATTCAAGCCCATATCCCTCTTTTTAGAATACTATATGTTTCACTTTCACTTAGAGGTGGCTGTGTGAATTACAAAGTGTCTCAAGCTCAAAAGCAATCATATCTTAATTTTTAAAGTTTATCAGACAAATAAAGCAGAGCCTTCCAGCTGCAGAGTGGTGAAATTATCCTGACTTATGGGATGGATGTCTGTCTTCTTTAACCCTCCCCTGCCTCAGGAGAGAGACAAGGACCTGGTTCCTCAGCTGGGGGAGATCACCTCTCATTCCCCCTTTTCTTTCTTAGTAAAACATTTCATTTTGGTGGGGGCTAATTATAGTTCTTTCTGAATTTGATTTTTACTTGACTTAGGAAAAACGTAAATTATTTTTGTTAAGATCGAATAGCTCTGGAGGCGTTTGGTAAAACTTAAACACAACCTACTGTGTGGGATGCAGATTTTGAGTCTGAGTGTGGTTTTCTCTCTGACCTAGGTGGAAGCTGGGATCTTGAGGAGGAGAGCCCCCAGTCCCAACTACAGGGGCTACTGTAACACACAGATCCATGGGTGAAGACCCAGTGGTAGAAATGAGGCCCCACGTCTGGCCCCAGAGCCCAAGGGGAGGAATTGCTGGGGCCAAAGTGGAAAACTGCTCTTTCTGACTCAGCATCTGGTTCTCACTACAGCCTGAACTCCCCTCGTCAAAGTCTGGAAAGAGACTTCCCCCCACATGGCCATTTCAGATAAAGCAAATATCTGAAGTAGAGAACTTTTAGGCTCCTAAACAGCAAGGTTCTTTCCCAGGGAAACCGTTGAACTAAAGGAAAAGTTTAAAAGCAGACCTTTGAGGGACAGTGAGCCAGGCCAACTCTTCCCAGCATGAGGAGGTTGCAGGAGGGTGAATGTGCCTCTCGGAGGAGTGATGGTGCTTTAAAGGAAAGCAGCCTCCTGGCGTCTCTGGTCTCTGCACCTCCTCCTCCTTCCACCAGAGAACTGGGAACAGGGTGGTTTT